TGCTATCTATGTAGCATGAACTGAAGGAAGTTAAGAAATTATATCAGCTTTAAAAAATTCCTTGAAAAACAGTGATGTTTTGAAATGGTACTCCTGCTAAGGTCTCTACTGGAAAAAATATTTGTCATGGTAAAACATTTGGCTTGAAAATAAAAATCAGAGAGGTGTTGGCTTTAAAACTTAATTGATGGAATTTTTGTACCTTGATCCAATTTCAAAAAAAAAAGATGGTGGCCATCAGGGCTGGAACAGTCCTACTTTTTTCTGAAACATTTAGGCTCTAATATATGATTTCAGTAGGTATGAAATCTTGCAGCTCTAATGTCATGTATTTTTATTTAATTGAAAAAAATTGCGCTTTGCATTTCTCAAACGTGTCATTTTGTAAAATTTCCAACTTCTGTAATGCTTCAATGCTCTTGCCAAAATGTCCTGCAGATCATAATAATAAGTCAACCAAAAATGTTTCTTTGGTAATTGCATAGCTGTGGTCACATTGTAACTTTTGGAGACAAATGTTAGTGCTGCTGTTTGACTGTATTTTGGGTAAAATTGGAGATTTGCAGTAACAAGTGCACAGACTTTGTAAATAAGTTCATGGCTTTTCATGGCCAAGATATGGAACTCATGGCTCAACAAAATAGAATCGCTGCTGGCAAATCCATGAAACCATGGCTCAAAAAATTCAGTTGCAGCGCCAAGTAGATGTTATCCATGCCTGGTGGCCATTTTTGCATGATGGGGTAATAAGGGAGACTCTCCGGGTAATACAGGACACCCCTAATAACGTACGGTATTTACAGTAGAACCACAATTAGCCAAGGCTCCAGTTGAAAAATTATTAACAAAGAATTTTGATTACATTTACTTCACACAGCAAAAAAAAAAAAAATTCACACATACAAAAAAATTCACACATACAAAAAATTGATCCATCATTAGTCATTAAAAAATTGTGCATAGAATGTCATAGACAAAATTGTGCACCAGGAATTGGTATGCAACCTTTTCAGTTTCTTGGGTTTCCTGAAAATTTGAATTTTCATTTTTTTCTCACTCTAATAAACTTAATAACTCCTACCATTATTCAAGCTCCTGCAATGAAAGACATTCAGTTTGTAAATACTGTACCAAGCAACTCTAGGAGCCGATCTTTGGATTTGTGCATGGTTTGATGAGGGGTTGGGGCAGGAAAAACGTGCATAAAAGATAAACGATGAAGAAAATATAAAATTGGGCTCTAGAGCTGCTAGAGCTGCTAGATAAATTTGCTACAAGTCAAATTAAATGTTTCTCAATATTGTAGCATGGGATTTGCAAAAGTTATAAACTTTTTAAAGTACCTCTTTTTTCTGCCATTTTCTTTCATTTTTTCACAAAATTCACATGAGCAAATTGTTTTATTTTACCTTCTATGTATGTGTGGGAAATTTCAGAGATTGGTTGATAAATGTAAGTTTTTTCACTATGTCGTTAATTATTTATATTGTTACACAGTTTTGACAGACGGGACAGTTTTGAGCATTTTTTTGTTAATAACTGTTAATAACTTCTTAAGATGAAACATTTCATAAACAAGTTTAGGCTCATTTTATAGCTCTTTGCGAGGGCTATCGAATGGCATTGTCAAAAAAATTCCATGTGCTATTCCTAAGGTGCCAGAAGCAAAAAAAAGTGTCCCGAGTAGCCCCGTCAAACTGGGCTACTCGGGACACTTGGAATAAAACTTCATTTTAAAACATTTGAAGCATGCAGAGTGTACTCGTCCATTACTAACAGTACTCTGAAATCTTCCTCTTTCATTGTAGATGATGTAGAGGTAGAATAAATGATGACATTTTCTGTGATTTTTTTTTTTTGTTTTTCCTTTATTGATGATATTACCATTAACATTAATTTTTGTCAACTGGGGTGACTTCAGCACCGTTTTTTATTCATGCTGGGGTCATAAACACCGGGGTCATAAACGCCAGGGTCGGAAAAAAGGTTATAAACGCCAGAGTGACTTTGGCCATTGTTTATGACCCTGCTTTTGTTTGCAAAACAAAATCAAAAATGGGGCCCAAGTCACCCCAGTTGACAGTACCATATTATTGATGCGATATTACTGTATTACTGAAGCGATATTGCCATATCCATGAACATGCCATTGAGCAGTAACAACAACCTTGTCCACTGCAAGCTTCATATCAGCAGCCTTATAGCATTTTTTCTGTATCTGTAAGCTTACAGGAGGGCTTGTAATTTCACACCATTTTAATTGGGTTAAGTGAATTTACTATGTAGCCCCGTTTGACGGGGCTACTTGGGACACTCTTTTTTTGCTTTTGGCACCTTACGAATTGCATATGGAATTTTTTTGGAAAAGCCATGTGATAGCCCTTGCAAAGAGCTTTGAAATGAGACTAAACTTGTTTATGAAATGTTTCATGGTAAGAAGTTATGAATGAAAAACATTTGAAATCGTCCCGAGTAGCCCCGGTCGACGGTATCCACAATCATTTTATGGCCAATTTTTTGAAAAATTGCTGGCAAATATGTGTCAGTGTATAGACCGTCAATTGGGATAATAAGGTATAGTTTTGAACATTTTTTGTTAAAAACTTCTTACCATGAAACTTTTCATAAACAAATTTAGGCTCATTTTATAGCTCTTTGCGAGGGCTATCAAATGGCATCTTCAAAAAATTCCATATGCTATTCATAAGGTGCCAGACGCAAAATAAAACTGTCATGAATTACCCCTGGGAACAGAGTAATCCGGGACACTTGAAACAAGACTCAATTTTAAAATGCTTGAAGCATGCAGAGTGTACTCGTCTATTACTAACAGTACTCTGAAGTCCTCCTTTTTCATTGTAGATGATATAGATGTAGAATAAATTACATTTTCTGTGATTTTTACTTGTTTTTCCATTATTGATATATTACCTTATCCATACATTACCGTATTATTGATGTGATATTAACTAATCAAGGGACTTGCCAATGAGCATTGACAACAATCTTGTCCACTGCAAGCTTCATATCAGCAGCCTTATAGCATTTCTTCTGAATCTGTAAGCTTACACAACGGCTTGTAATTCCACACCATTTTAATTGGGTTAAGTGAATCCACTTTAAAAAAGATTGTAACAAACATACCTGAAACAGAAAGTAATGTTCTAGAAACAACCATCATATGTTTTGAAGAAATAAAACATAGCTTAGGTTAATTACTTTTTATTCTATGATGGCCAGTGCACAATTCTATATATGACATTCTGTACACAATTTTGTGTTGACCGATGATGCATTAATTTTCTGATAAGTGAAATTTTTTGCTGATATTAATATTTTGATATTGATATTTTTGTTAACTGGAGCCTTTGCTAGCTGAAGTTAAACTGTAAATGCGTTTTTATGGGTGTCCCTTATTACCCTGTTGTGTGGAAATGGCTGCCATTTTTTTGGAATGAGATAGTAGGCAAATTTCGTCAATCTCGGTTTCACTTTTTTCAGCAATTTTTTAGAGATAGTAAATGTATGATTTCTTAACTAACTTTATACATACTAGATAGTATAAATTTTGACATTTATGTTACTATTTTTAGTTTTACAATATTTTGATTAGTTTAGCTGCTACAACATTTCTACAAAATCTGGGACATGTGTCCCGATTTACCCTGCCTGTCCCATACGTATTACCCCATTTTATGGTATATTTTAATCTTGGAATAGAATAGGCAAGAGCCTATTCTATTGGGTGAAATGCCCTTGAGCAGAGGTGTTTTTACCTCATTCATTGTGGCTATTGCAATTGTTCAGAATTGCAGAAATTTTAAAAAAAGTCTCCCATGAATGAGAAAAATGTCCATGCATGCTGTCAATATCACAATTTTTTGTGTTGCCCTTGCCTAATTCTCTCCACCTGCAGCATTTTGAGCATTTTCACCCATAGTCTTCAAAATTTTCCCTTTAAACAATGTTTTTTTCCATGATTTATGGTAATTATTAAATATAAAACTGAAAAATAATTTGCCAGCTGTAACCTGAATTGCATTCATTGATGAATGATGGTAGAATAACAACCCAAATCCATATTAACAATGGTTCTGAAACAAACTGATTTGACACGTGTATAATCAATAGATGTGCAGACTAATAAGCTAACTCAGTAACCATTGATGGTGTTCATAATTTGAGGTTTAATGGTCTGCTAACTCAAGGCAAATTTATATGCAGCAATTTGGTTCATATTTATGTGATTCAATGCCTGTAATGAAAGAATTATGCCTAACTTCAAATTAAACAAAATGCACAAACTTTTAGCATGGAATCATGTAAATAATATTACCATGTTTGCATGGTTATATGATTAATGAAAACAACTTATTCAATTGAATGAAAAAATAAACTTGGTCTGCCCTATGATTAATTCTGGTAAGAATGCCGCAATAACCATGTAATTGCAAGTTAATGTTTTCTCTTTACTTTAGAGGCAACTAAGCATATGTTACAAGGTTCAAAAACTCCTAACATTACTGTAATTTTCCGCTTCCCATGTTATATTAATATAGCAAAAATGAGTTTCATCAAACTCATCTATACCTCACTCCAAATTTGTCCATTTATCAAAGCTTTAGTAACATGATATTCAGGTGGACAATAAAATTGTCTGTTGTATTGGATGGAGTTGTTTTAAAACCAAAACACAAATGTTATAGGTATATAACTCTGTTGCTATATTTACAATCCTAATATATTCATCTCACTTGCCAACCAATTACTATTTGGCCGTACTCCGTACTATTACAATTGCTGCAGTCGCTCTGTGAGAACCTTGTGCTCATCAGAACTGCAACAAACACAATTAAAGGCAGTTCAAGTAAATAACCAGTATAATTTTTTTTTTGCATGGACACATTAAAATTGATTATCTTTTCCTGAGAATTTCATATCTCATTTTTAGTTATTCAAATTTAATTGAAGAACGTAACACACTTTCTTGATTGTTTCAGGACTACGCGATGATCACGGCCTCGGCTGCCACTGCCGTCTTCGCCATCCCGGCGTGGGTGTTGTACCATCTTGACGAGTACAAGGGCAAGACCAAGCAGTAGACGGGGGCTGGGGCCTTGCGCTATGCTCCCCTCAATGTTGTACATGTCCTACGCTCCTACTTCATCAGCCCGAAAACATCAGCCTTGATGAATTGTCCATGAAACTTGTTTGGACCGTTCTGGATTAACATTAGCATACTTATCATATTAAATTTAACTGCACTCCTACTTCATCAGCATGAAGACATTAGCCTCGATGAATTGTCCATGAAACTTGTTTGTCCGTTCTTGATTAACATTAGCATACTTGGCATGTTAAATTTGTCTGAATTGTCACCAAGAGCGATTTTAATCATTGAGTGACTTTTATTGTGACCAGCCCTACTTATCCATCAATCCAAATTAGATTTAAATGGCAACATATTTTGGCTGCTTACCAGTTTGCAACATCATGCCTTATGGCTAAAAATTCATTTTGCCATGTTCTAAAACTCTAACGAATTGGCGCATCTACATTGTCATTTATTGTCGCAAAGAACCTCGTGTATATAAGACTATCCACAATAAATGGACATTTATAATACAATGTTTGAACGAGTCCTCCTTCTGTTCGTTCTGTTTTTGTCCGAGCGCATTACAGGTTCATGTAGTTACCTTATAACCTTTTTGCTAAGCCCTTATTTAGGAGACTTGTATTCCTGCACCAGCGAATTTAAAGTTTTCTTCATGTTCATTTCTGAAGTGCGCCTTGATGGAGTCATCAACATATCTCAAAAATTGCTTTGAATATTACCATGTATTTACGTACATTGCAGCGTGTTGTTATTTTTACTTCAAAGCGCGCTGGTATCGACTTTCTTCGCATAGAAAGTTTTTTTTTGTAACCTTGAACATAAGTCATGCATGGAATGCTTCAATAAACCATCAAAACAAACGAGGTAACATGTCGTCAAGAGACGTCCTAATCTTTCGTGTCTCGCAAGTTCTCTATATTACTTATCTAGGAATATAGTTGAAATTCTAGTATTTGTGGAACAGTAAGCCCAATACAACACCAGTATTTCTACCGAGTTAGCATGCTGCTGAGCGTGTACACTCATCTTGCTCTAATAATCGGCGGGCATAAACCACCTCGTGTGCGTAAGTAACCAACGTCTTGTATTTTAATGTATTACAATCTAAGTTTTACCAATTTTATAGAGCGGAAATTATTCGCTCTTTTTCATCCCACTTTATCCCGGCCGCATCCCGTACTGTCACCACCCATTCGTCCTTTGGCCCAGCGGGCATTTGGCTCACCCATGCTTCATGCATACCACGCCTACGTACCAATACACGACATCTACGCGCCCATTTGCTCACCTTCATGTTCCGCATATACATCTTTCGTGCCCAACGTTCATCGTCCATTCGCTCCAGTCTCACTTTATACCTCAAAACTGATCTCGTTCTTCTCTCCTTAAAGGTACTCCATCCCATGTCTCCTCTCAGGGCCTCCTAGTGTCATTCTCGTCACTCTATTCTGAAACATTTCAGTTTATCTAGCTATATGCCATCATATCCAATCCATACATAATACTACCGCACTTCCCGCAATACTTCATACTTTCTCGCTCTCACTTTTGCTGCACTTCCAAGTATACCCAACCATTGATTCGCCTTACTTAGATTCGCGGCCTATGTCCTCTCACATCCCTCCTGGTCCACACACCCTATAAGTACCCCTATACTCATTTGTCCTAACAATCTCATTCCCTCCTAACATCCACTCTCTGCTCATATCCTCAACCGATCCATTCACAACAAATACTTGGCTCTTCTCCGCACTGAATTGCACACATACTTTGTAGTTCCTCGCTATTTTCACTCATAATCACAGCATCATCAGCATACAGAAGCATTTGTAACCTTTCGCCGCCCACACGCACACCAACATCCATTATCTTCGCCCTCGTAGCCATCTCTTCGTTGTAAAGGTTGAAGAGAAGCGGTGACAGGATGCATCCTTTCTTACGCCCTCCTGCTCCTCACCTAGTCCATCTCACCATCCCCTAACCCCAGCCTTATTTTGCTCTAGAAATCACAACATACTTCTCACGAGCCTCACATATTTTTTCACTCAGTTCAATTTTTCCAGTAATTGACACAGAAGAATACTATCAACCCGATCATCCGCTTTTGCTGTGTCTAGAAAAGCCTAGTACACTTTCTTTCCATCTCTTTTCCATTCTCCCGATCAGTTCATTCACAAGCAATATATTATCTTCTGTTCTTCTGTCGCATCTAAAACAATTTTACCCTTCCCCAAACACTCCTTTGTTTGTCATTTATCTTAGCATCCGCTCATTCATAATCGCACAGAAAATCTTGCCACTGGTGTCAGCAAGAGTTACTACTAGTATCAGCATTCTCAGCATTCTTCAGTTCATTTTTACTCATGTGACCTCCCTTTTGTAGCAAGGTTACCCGACTTTCATTCCATGCATCAGGTACACACTCATTTGTCCTTACAACATTAAATAAATCAGTCAGTCCGCCAATTACACTCTCTGCTTCATACTCGAACATCTCCTAAGGCATCTCATCCATTCCAGCTGCCTTATTATTCTTCCATTTTTCAACCGCTCGTTTCATTTCCTCGTCTATGCCACTCAGATTTTGGCGCTCTAATGAAACAATGTTTGCGCCTGGCGTAAATAAGTCATTGTTCCCACCAATGTCTTCCCAGAATTCCTTCACAGCCTCAACCAATCTTGTTCTCTCAGTTATGTACACTCCCTCTACATTCAGCTCATCTAATCTCAAAACATTTTCCCTCTTGTCCCCTTTTAAGAAAGTATACCATTCGCGTCCACCTCTCTGTTCCTCTATAACGAATTCATTAATTCTATTTTGCGGACTCTCAACAATATAGTTTCTAATGATAGTTTTGGCTCTTCTCTGTTATCCTTCATACCTCATTCATGTCCATGCTTCCTGATATTCCTGCTCACATTCCTCACTTTCATGCCTACTATCCGCAGCTGTCTACAAGTTCGATTACATTTCTTTCGTTCATTTCTTGCCACTTTCACATCACTTCTCCACTAAATTACCTTCTTTCTTCGGCTTTTGCGTTAATTCTTAGTTGTCCTTGCACATGCGACCCTGGCAGCCTCATTCAGACATTTCTCAAGCCTTTCGCCGCGGATACATTTGCCGTCGTCAATTCTACTCGTACCAGTGGTTTGGGACCGAGAACTACCGTCAGTCGCGAAGGAGTTAAGTTGTACGTTCATAGCGTTCACATCGTAACTTTCTCTCCCGTATCATTCAGTTTTGCCTGGGAGTTATCCCAGTCAGCATCTCTCATCTGCCAGTTACATTTTTGATCAGTATCTCTCACGTGTCTTTCATGCATTTAAAACTCAATAACAAGCATATTATGATAAAGATAAGCACACACCAGCTTCATCCACCCACATGCATATCAATTTTCGTCTTGCGTTCCGATTCACTAATATATAATCAATTGATGAGCAGTTATCTATATTGCTCCAGGTAATTTATCCCTCAGCCATTGCAACATTTAGGTTTTCCCGGTCATTCTCGAACACAAAATCGTACAGACGCTCTCTATTCTTGTTCACAGGCTCTCCTAGTATGCCTACATGTCCATTTATGTCCCCCTTAACTACTATCACTTCATGGCTATATCCATCAAGCACTTTCTTTATACAAGCATACATTTCTTTGTTCTCACGCTAAGACCTTACTACCTCCACAGTCGTGTAGTAAGAACTAAGAAGACATGCATAGGCATGCAGGAAGAAGAAACTGTGCGCAGCCTTAATTGAAAACTACTTTTGTGTCCTGTGCTCTTCAACATTACAAAAAGGTGCAATAGCCAAAATGCCCAAGGTTGGGATTATCCCGGGAGTCTGTTTGTTCTCTTGTGCAATAAATCGAGGCACATGCGATGTCGTGACAGCGTCTCCGTTCTAGTCTAGGTTTGGTCCGAAAAAACATTCATTCACAAGTTTGGGGAACCTGGCAGTCATAGTATTCTTGTACAGATGAAAGACTTGGGAAATTTATTAACTTAGCAGGCGTGAGGCGACAAGGAGGTCAACCACTTCTGTCGCGCAATGACTTTTCCTTTTCCATGGGAACACTTGACAAACCATTTTTGCACTGGCACATAAATCTATCCAAGTTATATGAGGAACATTTGGCGCACTCACTATCTCTTCACTGGAACATAAATCTATCCAGTTTATGCTAGGAAATGGTGGGCCAGCCAAAGGGAACAGTGGAGTATTGGACAGTCAGCTCAGCATTGACGCAGGAGTGACGAGTGTGGCTGTTCCAGCTACCAAGAGCCAATCTTTCCACCCTTGCCAGATATTATCAGCAGACCTGTAACACTCGTTTATCACAATTCTAAACGCCGGCAGAAAACTCAACGTTACGTTTACAAACAACTGCCACGTTAGCAGAACACTGAATAAAAACTTGTGTCAAATCTTAGAGCCGTAGCCCATTTATAGGATGACGAGAACTCTGTGGGAGATCAGTACAACATGATAAGGGGAACAAAATTCTCTAATTCGTCTTCTAGTTAAATTACCCAGAGAAAATCAGAGCCGCGTGAGTTATGACTCCGCTTGGACGGCAATCAGACGCTCCATATTTTGGTGAAGACGTCCGATGATTGCTATAGCTTTTAACGAGGAAGTACTCTCTCGATGCGGCGCCACGAGACGAGCGCCGAGGCAGCGATGTGTCCTAAAGGTGCGGCTTGTCCTAACGACAAGTTAACACAAAAGACTTAAATATCCGAGGCAATCTCGTTATGCTCCTTTTGACATCTCGTTAGTAGAAATTAAAATATTGATGTAGCGAGAATCTCGACGGTAAAAATGTGGACTATTTCTGAATTTAATAAATGCGCTAGCTGAGAGCAATTGTAGTATAGGATGGGGCACTGAATTTTGCATATTTTTGAGAAGGCGTTGGAGGAGTGGAGATGAGCTGGAATTACGCAGTGGCCATGGCATATCTTGTTAGCACCGCCGTCAGATGTCTACTATTTTCAGATCTTGTTTGATACGAGACAATAGCAGACATTTTCATTATTGCAGTTAGCAATACATCACAACAAAATGAGGATTATAAGCTAAATCAATTTTGTTATTAATAGATTCTCACCCCCAGTAAGAATCTGACCAGTCGAATGAATCGGAATTACGATCTCGTATCTCGTGGTAGTGTTGCAGTTGGGGAAACTCTATACTGAGATTTGACTGAACATTGTTGATCTTTTAGATCTATGAAATTTCTTTTTTATTTTAACATAACCCTCAAGCGTATGTGCATGCTATATAGGTACATTTAAATTTGTCCTGAACATGCCTTATTTTAAAATTCATCAACTAATGAAATAATACATTCTGAAACGATCACTACTTGATGGTACTGTATGGTACTAAAAAATTATATTTTTTAGTACCGTACATTTACCGAATTCGAAGGATTTTTTCTTAATGCAGCTATATCGGAAGTAAAGTCGGCATACATACTACGTATCAATCTGAATTCTTGAAGCCTTAATGCATGCAATTCGCCTTGAAGAAGGATATATTCTGCACCAAAAACTTCGCCGAGTCACTTCTGCATGGACAACAACTGACGTCACTTTAATGATATGCTGATTAAAACCAAGTAAACTTATTCCGATGTTAAAGTTCGAGCTGTAGTCTTGTGATGCAGTCTTTGTCTAGTCTTTCAAAACATTCAAACATGAATTGTGCTTCTTAACTTCCCTTGAAATAACGAGATACTTCCCTCTGCTCATCCCTGTCCAGGGCTTAAACATGCTCGTTGCAGTACAAATACTTACCTTATAGGCTGTAAAATCTAGAATGTTTTTGAATGAGTGTTAAACAATGAAACATGCTTAGATAAAACATGATAAATAGTTGTTCAGTTGAACGATGTTGCCGTTCGTCAGTATTACCATTGTGGTTTGTGATTATTGTATTGCGATACAAGTGAATAAAATATATCCTACCATCAACTCCATAACTCGTGAATTGTTTACTAAAGATAAATTGCTCAGTTACAAATGTGATGCTGTGAAATGTTTTGATTGTGAACTTGCCGTTATGTGTATTACGTTCATGTCGATATCGGCAGACTGGGGACTGACAACTATATATACGTCAGCACCTCCCCAAAGAAGACCAATAGATAAAACTGATCAATCTTATTCGTTGCAGAATTACCAATTAATTGGACGGCAAAGAGCTGATTAAACTAAATAAACCCTTGAAGTTACTGAGCCCATAAAGTTATTTATTAATACACCATATATTGCGTTGGCAATAATACTTAGCCGCGGCTCAGCGGTGGCAGCTCAGTGTCAGTGGAGGGACGCTTCCACTGATAACGTTCAGTGTGCACCGAGGCACTGGCTGGTGTCCATTGATAATTGGCTGCTCTGGCTGTGCGCCCTTGCTAACGGCCAGGCTAACTCTTTCTTTGTGTAATATTTGAATGACAATTTTAATGTCGTTTGGCTGAGAACCGATCAATCAAAAAATCAATGAATTTCAAAACTATAAAGCTGTACGTTGCATCCTATTTGTCCGCATGCGCTAATCTCTCAATTAATTACGTATTTCGAAGTGCGTGCTTGGCATCTGTGGACATCATTAATCTCTGCACGATTAGTATGTAGCATGGCTTACAATTATACCACACATCATTAGGTGTGTAACTGGGTTCACACTTTACCTCCCCCCCCAGTGTCTCACAATTTCATTAAAAATAAAAATATATATCACAATCAGGTAATTTCCTAACACGACACTAATTGTGGAAACGCGCTCGAAGAGATGTTCTATATATTATCTTCGCCAGGCCTTTAACACACGAATTTCCATGAATTTATGATAGATTATCGTCAAATATGAGTTGCTTATTGGGTGGAAGCTAGTTTTGAAAAAAAGTGTCTAAGGAACTGAGCTTGATCAGGAAGGCTTCAAAACGACACGTTAGTCAAATACAATACGTGTATCAAATTTTGTAAATGAGTAAGATTAAGGAATCAACAAGGGCAGAGGGGCATTGCATGTCATAATCAGTTGTGCATGGCGCTGTTCACAGCACACCATTTCTTTCCCAACACGCTAGCTACAATAATAGTGTCACTAAATAGCAGTTGAGTTTTACAGTGAAAAGTCAAGCTGCTTGTATTGTTTGCCGCCTACACATATGTCTAAGAAGCTACTCGATATGCCGTACTTTTCGCAGAATATTTTCTTTATCGTCATCTGTTTGTGTTCGCTGTGCGGGCGCTCCAACGTGGAGACCAAATCTGCCACTGAGAAGTAAGTGCACATTTTTTATCCTACTTAATTGATTCATTCACTGGACCAGCGATGAGAACGTTGCAAGCGAATTGTAGGTTGAATCATTTGGTCATTTTCAGGCACACACTCCAGTCACAAGTAATTTTAATACATAATATGATGTTTTCCACGCTTTTCTTTATTTGAAATTAACTGACGTCTCAAGGGAGGTGGGGTAAATCGGTGTCAGATTTACCCCAGCGCCTGTACTTAGTCTTAAATGCTAATGTTGAATGTCGCAAACGTATTTTCACTTTAATAACATGAACCATTTTTGTTTTTACATATAAATATTAAACACATTACATTTTACTATTTACATTCACATCATTACATATTACTATTATATTGTAATAGTATTTTACAACGCTATAAGGTTTTTTACAAGTGTATTAATCGTTTATATGAGAGCGGAATTAAAGCAATACTTCTTTCTGTCAAACGGTTATTGACTAGAAGTGTGAAATTCCTTTGCCATGTCATGGCTGATGATGGAAGGTTCCTGTCTTTCCCCCACTACGAATGTTGAAATTTTTTCAACGGATCATAATCACGGTTAATTAGTCGGCATGTCCCAGTATAAATGAAATTTTTAGTTATAAGCATTGAAGATCCCGATGTAGCGTCTCGGAATCGATGCGATAAATAGAATCAACATAAACATACCGCATGCGTAATTTTTTATCTTATTCATATTATGCGTCAAACACTCTAAATTTTTCGTTTAAATTGAGTAAATTATGTAAATTAGTTAATGTGGTGTGAGTTAACCATGTTGTTACCAAGTCGTTATTAATTTCTACAACGTGAACTATGCAGCGCCCCCAAGCTGGACTGGACACCTTGGGCGTCTAGAATCAAGAATTTCTCAGCGGAGTTGGGCGATCTTCTGCAGCCTGGACGAACGCGACTCAATATGAAGGTGCGGTCCTTAATTAATGTTTATGTGTTATTCCTATGAGGATACAACTATTATTTTTATGTATTATTCCTATGAGGATACAATTATGATGTTTATGTATTATTCCTATGATGATACAATTATGATGTTTATGTACAGTATTATTCCTATGAGGATACAATTCGTTCATGCGCGTCTAAGGTTAGCTAATCTTTGTGTCCAGCGGCTGCTGGACATTATATATATGTGAGCCAATTCAAAATATGTCTCGTTAATTTTTTAATTGCAAATTCATTAAAAGAGCGTTGGACTACTATAGCATTTGTGTTAATTTAGAATTTCATTAACAATCTCAACTTGAAGAGTCTTCACGCAGCTCTTCGATTGCGCGTTCGAATTCCTCTCACATTCCCCGTGATCAAATATTTTCTAGACGTCAACGTTCATATTTTATAACTTGGAATTTTATTAGACCTGATGGATTGAAATTTATCGAGCTCAAACTCGGCCGACTTATTCTGTTTTAGGATGCCAACGAGTGCATCGCATGGTCTCATTTCATCAGTGACAAATATACGTGCTTATAGAAGTCTAATAATCATTAGTTATGAGTAGATGTTTTTGTTTCGTTTCTGACCTAGTCCATTTATTGAAAATGTTCGTGCGTAAACGTTATATCGTAAACGCGCATTTCTGAGACGTGCGCTGTATAAATGCTGAAGTTGTTCTTTCAAACATCACATTACTCATTATTATGGCTATAGGTTAGGTAATATAAGTTAGGTTAACATGAGTAACAATGATTATAACTACTTTGGTCGTACGAAGGTGCAGGGCTGCGCATGGTGGTTGTAATGCACCAAAACTCTCCTCCATATAGACGGGCGCACAAGCTCGGTGAATTTGTGAAAGAACACAAATCGTTGCGTGTCCGGGACATTATGTATCGGTTCTCAATTTTACGTGAGATGTATTTTTAAACTGAGAAAGAAATGACTTCTGAAGCTTTGATTGATAAAGTAGTCGCTAATAATATAACTTGTTGTAATGCTTCAGTTGAACTGAAAATTTCGATTATGCATTCTTGCGTCGCAAAACATAACTATTACACAACATAACTATTCCACGTCGAAAAACATTACTATTATTATATCTTAACAACGTTTGTTCAAGAATTCGAGCGTGGTGAGCACCTACACATCCACCATCATCAACAAGTCCAAGAAGCTATCCGAGGACATCCAGGAGTTGCTGGAGACCGAAGCGAGCGCCGTGCAGCACGCCAGCGACGCGCTGCTGCTCATGAACCTGCTAGACTTCTACGCCGGTCTCTACCTCTACCGCTTCTCCAGGCTTTTCGAGGTGGCACGAAATATTCCGTTTACGAAAATATTAACCGTCGTCAATGATATAAGTATTTGAAGGTCATACTGCTGGGACTCCCGACAAATAACACTAGGTTAATGCAATATTCTGCTTGTAAATTCTCACCCAAATACGTAATTATCACGTTCAAATGTTACTCTCAAATTGACAGTCGTAGCTCCCGAAAGTACCAAGTTTACGCTCAGGAATCTTCCACCACTCAAATATTTCCGTTATAAATTATGCATACAATATACAAATGAATGAATCGCTGATCTGGTATCCAACAAATATCCTATCAGACTGTCAACATGGCTTTATTGCAGGTAGATCCTGCACAGCTAACCTCTTGTCTATTTTGAATGATTGGACTCGTATGCTTGAAGAAAGAGACAGTGGATTCAGTGCACTTTGAATGCTGTTCAAGAATCGAGTTAGAATGCTCACGGATATAATCCCTTCAATGAAATCCATTGAAATTGGAATTCTTAATTGGAGACCATGTTAAAAAAAAAAATAAAAGCTCACACATTGCTACTTAATTCTTCATTCCTCGGTTATTGATTATTGAATATGTTGAAGTGAAGTTTTGATCATCACCGTTTACAGGTTTATAATTTAATGCTCGCCGAGGTGGAAGCATTTCAAGAACTCAGCTTCAACGGCAAGCAGACGCATCCATATTTCCACGTCGCCAACGCATTTCGACGACATTTCTTATCCGAAGAAAGAAAACTCAGAGAATTCCTAAGGTTAGTTCCTTTAAAAATGTTCAATAAATTATAACTTTGGGGCTGTCAAGCTGTTTATTTATAAATGCTTAATTTCTGACTACACAAAAATTCAAATCAATGTCATAGGGAACACAATCAGAATGTCTTAGCAAAATTTACGTTGAAAAAGAGATTATTATCTCGAAAGTGTTCTTTATTCATGCATAGTTATTGGTGCATGCACCCTAAAGTTTGTCACCAAAGTCTTGGGTAGATGTGAAGCTTTAAATCTATAGGTTCATTTTCTGCAACTAATCGCAATAAGTTCTCGATATCTCGAACTGCTGCTAATCTTAGTTAGAAAAAAAAAGAATCTGATTATGTAATATATCCAGTGAATATCATTGACAAATCTTGGGGTATTATTAGTTCGTATTTAGGGTAATTATTTATTATAATATAATTTATTACTTATTGTCATAAATATATTGTATTGCTCTTAACTTTCAGAAAAGTTCTAACGGCAACGGCAGATTACGTCGTTTTCCCAAGTGCTTTCGAGGAAGGTACAAATCGCCGTTTAAATGATCTCATCCGCCTACTAAACATCACCAGCCCTGTTCAAGTGAGTACTGGGCATATGATAAATAAAACCCATTCAGAACCGACGTACAGCTGCATGATTCAATATATTATTTACCTGGAATATGCTTTGCAAAATTCACCCGAATTTCATAGCCCTTGCTGCATTATGATTTCGAGGAAGTGAAAACTCGAATATAATTTACCCGAATGATGAAAAAAGCTTCAAGAGCTGCACAGACATTTAGCGTGTGCGCTTGACATCAAATTCCCCATTGATAATTCAAATGAGTATAATAAGTTTGTTTACTGAAGTATGCCGTGTGCGGAGTGTATTCTTTTATTGGTTTGAATTCAATTGTTATCCCCCCAAACATTCAGCCTTCTATAGAAAATTTAATCCATGTTTCAGAAAATGGATGTTGAGAGGAGTTACTATATCAAACCAAGCAACAGCCTTGGTTTCTGTCTGTCAGCTCTGGAAACAGACGATGAGCAAGTGAAGCTCATAACCAGAAGGTTCTGGCATCCTGTTCCCAGTTCTCTACAAGACACGTGCTGTGCTTCGCAGCTACAATGGACTACTGAATATTCCAATGATAATGTCAGCGATGCTGTCAACTCGTGCTTGAAATTCAGGTGCGCTTTATTAACTTCGAACTCAACCTAGTGAGAGAACTCGAAACAATTATTTTCTACATGACATTTGAACACAGATTTTATTATTTTTGTTTGATGATCGGGAACATTTCATTATGTGTGAAATTTGCTCATATAGTTATGGTATATTATGTGATTAACCCGAGGAAAGTCATGAAAACTATCGTCAAACTATCGTCAGTCATGATCTATCCGGTCAAATAACACGATTTTAGATCTTCTGTGAACAAGGCACGAAAAGGAAAAGAATCGGCGACAGGCCACATCAGGCCTACACTTCAGCGCCGAGATCACTATGTTATGTTATGTGAAAGGTTCAGACAGTAAAACCACAGATGACAGGTGTCGGTGTCAGTTATATTGAGTTGATATTATAACTGACACAATAGAATATATTAATAATATTGACTTGATATAAGATGGGTTGCTGAGACCAAAACCTTCGGATGCAAAAATAATGCTCATTGTAGTCCTACATATACCACTTCACCTAAGATAATATTATTACCTCTATTCAATATTACAATATTATTACCTCTCGATATTGTTGCGTACATTGGGTGCATCACTTGAAGTTTAACGACTGAGATGTTTGACACATTTCTATTTCAAATCTAGTGTAATACGAGACGTTGTTGCAAGCATATACGATATGTTACAAAACACAATTCTTCTTCTTCTCAGTTCTCGCCCCAACTTCTGTGTTCTCTAGTTACAAAAGGAGCGTGCACAAAAAAATCGGGTAAATGCTTAAATTCGGCGAAGAAGTGTCATGTCAAAATGTTTTAGATAGGAATTCACGAAAGTTTTTTTTTTAATCGTCAAGTTTAGAAATTATATTGCTCAAGTTGAACGAACAAATGTCATTCGTCGAACGAACGAAGAACAAACTCGATCTTTTTTTAAATTGATAACACCAATAACGACTTCATCATTAAATTAAACTTGATTTTTGTCATTCTTTAGAAGTTTTGTGAGACGGAAAAAACTCTAATGAAGATTTTCGTTAATTTTAAACTCAGTGAGCATCCTTTCTGCATGTGTTACGTCTGTGATTGATTTCCATAGTCCTATCGCCAAAAAAAGTAACGATAATAACTGTTCGAGTTGCTGTCTTCGTGCTTCAATTGAACGCGGATCAAATATAAGTAAACACGCTTGCGGTGGCACGGTAGACTGTCATGCATGAAAGCAATGAAAGGAACACCTAACGCCTATTGCGAATTAACATGAAATTATAATAATTGTCTGCGGATTTGACTGCAGGTTCGTTATCAGCGCCGGCGAAGGCAGGCCTCGACAGACGCTCAGGACGCGGCTGTTGGGGCGGGAGCTCGTCCTGGCCACGTCATCCTCTGGTGACGCCGTGCTGATGCCCACACGTGTCGTGAGTGTCACAATAGTTGTACACACGTGCTGTGAGTGTCACAATAGTTATCTACACGTGCTGTGAGTGTCAAAATAGTTGTCCACACGTGCCGTGAGTGTCACAATAGTTGTCCACACGTGTCGTGAGTGTCAAATAGGTATCCACACGTGCTGTGAGTGTCACAATAGTTGTCCACACGTTCTGTGAGACAACATTGTTAGCATGAATTTACCTTTTCTGAATGGTTTTCTTTCTTAAATGAATTGAAAAATCAAGAGTGCCGATTAATTTGTATCCTGAGACATCAAACAGTCATCCAGTCTAAGTTGAAGGACAACCAATAGAATTTTTCGTGCATACCATATGTGCTACATCATAGAATAACTTCTTTTACTAGCGGAAGCTGTGTGCATTACCTACCGTTTTATTAATAATATATTACATGTTCAAAATGTGACGCGTTTGCCAGGCCGGCGCTCACGCGGCGGTGAAGTGCATCGCGCTCTCAGGCGGCGACTCGCTTATCCTGCACTGGAGCGCCGGGCACGCGCGCTACCTCAGCGTCCAGCCGCTGCCTGCAGGCGCCCTTGTGGCGGCAAACATCAACGCCAGCGAAGAGCTCAGCAATACAACACTCAGCAAGAGCATACACAGTAATGGAGCCCTCAGCAGCGAACAACTCAGTAATGGAGCCCTCAGCAGCGAACAACTCAGCAATGGAGCCCTCAGCAGCGAACAACTCAGCAATGGAGCCCTAAGCAGCGAACAACTCAGCAATGAAGCCCTCAGCAGCGAACAACTCAGTAATGGAGCCCTCAGCAGCGAACAATTCAGCAATGGAGCCTTCAGCAGCGAACAACTGAGCAATGGAGCCCTCAGCAGCAAACAACTCAGCAATAGAGCCCTCAGCAGCGAACAACTTAGCAATGAAGTTCTCAGCAGTGAAAAGGAAGTCAGTTCTCACCGCCGACAAGCCAAGTCAGTCGTGGCACAAATCTCTACGACTACATTTATTCTCCCAAGGAACACCCGATCAGATCCCACGCTCGCCGAGCCTTCCAAAAGTGACTTTGGTCAGGAGCAGCACAACCGTGTTGTGTTTAGTAAGCAGTACGCTGGCCTGTTCTCTTGCTGGGTCCTTGATGAGGTTCCATAATATCCTATGCTAATTAATAGCCTGAAATAATTATTAAACTTAGAGACAGTAACAATTGAGGACTAAGCTACTGGGTATGTTTGGTTAGAAATTTTATCGACAACCATATTCTATGAGCACGTGCATACGAGCAATACAACACAATATAACAGGTTCTTGCCATGCTTTACTTTTAGTGTCAATAATTATAATCACACTCCACATTGATAGTAAATTCAAATTTATCTAACCAATCGTATGGGTTTCACAAAGGTATTACATGGCGGTATTATTATTACAAAGGTATTAATGCAGGAACATTGAGCTCTCTTTGGGATAATTTTTTTTTAATATATAAGTAACCAGTGAAAAATGATAATCCAATTCAAAATTCCGTTATTTTTCTATTTGCCTATTAGTTTTTTCAAAATTAATTTATTGAAATATCACTGTTTAGACTTTTACTTATTTTCAAACCAAACTCTAACAAGTTGTTTACACAAGAAGGTCGCAGATAATCCTAATCCTAGAATATTATGTGAGCTTCAGTCATGAATTTCATGTCGGATTTGATTATTCATGAAAAAAAAATTTCTAGTGATGTAAGTTGACTGTTTTATCGTTTTATCTTAGTTCAATCCGTCTGTGATTTTCAGCTTATTGTTTATTATTGATTTTGACTTGTAGAAGTAATTTAATTTCGAGTTTACTCTACTGAAAGAATAGAAAGAACTATTAACAAGTTTTATTTTTTCATATACGAAAAATTTATCTTCTCCTATCAAAGAGTTCTTATACTCTGAATTTTATTTGCGTGAGTTTAATTTAATTAAAATGAGGGTAAGAATAATTCATTGCCTCAATTATTGCGTGATCGAGCAGGGCTTCAATTCGGTTGTTATTATTATGATTATTTATTTTGTTCGTCTCGAAGATTTTGTTATTATTTCTTGTAATCAAGTTCATTACGTGTAGCACATTACTTTATTTCACAAATGTCTGGCATATGTCCATTTTTATTGTTTTATGCTTCTGCGAACGAGACTGACCAGTTTTCGGTGCTGGAAATAAGAATTTTGGTTCGCCTACTACAAACTTAGTTACTAGTCATTTTGCTCATTATATTGCTCTCTTTCCATGGAGAGTAAATTCTACTTCTTTCCATTCCATATCAATGTCTTCAGAATGTTCATCAACATTCACGTTCTTCGATAGGTTCCAAACCTTCACATATTTTATTATCTTGCATTTATCTTCATTTTGCTAAGCAGATCAACATATCCATTTTCAACATATCCATTTTCAAGTCCCTTAACTCTTTTCAAATCCACTGCCTCAATAAATATAATCCCATCCATTTTTGATTCTTCGAATTTCATTAATAAATTTTAATTATATGCCGTTTTTAGGGTCAGCACTAGTGGAGCCAATAACTCCCTAATTATTTAACTCAATATTTTCTTCTAGGTCGCAGTATCTTCAGCAAAAAGCCATGGCTTCTTGAGCCTCGCCTTCCCGCGCACTTAGCTCATCCAGCAGCGGCTGATGATAAGAGCTGAAATACTGTCGACCAAGACGCATGCCATTCATACAAAATTCCCTGCTGTGATTAACAGTAAATTTTTTACTATATCCTTGTGATGTATTCGTAAAAAATTATTTCATGCTAACATTGGCTTATATTATTTTAGCTATAAACAAATTGGGTGATAATGAACTCCATTTGAGAGCATTTCATCACGCTAACTACATAAACGAGTGACCTAATCAGTGGAATACATTAATTGGAGACTTGAGTTTAAAGGCTTAATCCATTT